GTTATTATAAAGGATATAACTCAGAAACAGCTAGATGGAAGAGATTATAGAGCAAAGTATGAAGATAGGGCATGGAGATTCCTTCCACAGCTTCTCTAGGCATACCACTCTCCCCAAATCTCCATATGTTCAAACTGGTAAGGAAGGTTGCTGAACCTTCCCCTTTTGGGTTTTTATGGAGGCTGCATTACTTAGGCACAATTGATTAAATCATTGCCATTCTGGAGAACAAGCTACTTGCTACACAGTTGGGAGTAATAATTGAAATTCTACTACAATATCCATGTTAAAAATTCTGTCCAATAATTCACTGTAAATTATTTTCCAAATAATTTCTTTAAAAGCACTTAGTTTGGCTGCCATTCTCTTAAACCTGGAGGCACCACTACCACCTGATAGAAACTGGTCTTGCCAAAGTCATTTCTGACCTCTAACTTGCTAAGAAAAAAGAAAAAAAACTCACAAAAAAACAATGGTCCACTCTAGGGATTATCTTACTGGACCTAGTGGCAGCATTTTACAAAACTGATCATTTTAGACTTTTTTTTTTTTCACATTAGACTTCTTAATAGAATTTTTTTTTCACTTTTTCCCAAGACACAAAATTCTTAATGCATTGGCTATTTCTTCTCATATATCTTTGTAGGTACCTCATTTTTATACTTTTATTAGAATACCTGAGGGCTCAGTTCTTAGATTGTGTTTTGTATAAATATTCCCTTGATTTCATTTAGCCTCAAGGTTTAAAGTATCATCTACATTTTGACAATTCCAAAATACACATTTCCAGGTCAGCTCTCTCTCTCCAAATTCCAGATGTATCTCCACCTTTCCTATATTGTCTTATAGTTGGTATGGCCAAATTGAACTTCTGATCTTCCTTCTTAAATGTCTTTCTCCTGTAGCCTTCTCCATCTTAGTTAATGGCAACTATCTTTCTGGTCCTCTATAAACACAAGCTTGGAATCATCCTTTCCTTCTCTTTCATACCTATATTCAAACCATAAGCAAATCTTGCCGGCTTTTCTTGCAGATTATGTGTGGAATCCAATCAGTCTCCACCATCCTCGTGCACTGGGTGAGCTGCACCAATTTCTCATTCTGGAATACTGAAATAGCCTATTCCATCATTACCCCTCCACAGTTCATCATCAACACGGCTGCTAGAATGATCTCTTTTAAATGTATGAAAGATGAAGTCATTTATTTGCTTGTAACTGAGTTATTACATCACATTGTAAGGCCAAATTCCTTATGAAAGCCAAAAGCCCTACATAATCCATCCTGCTCCCAACTCTCACTACCTTTATGAACTCATCTCCAACTACTTTTCTTTGTTCACAGGCCTCTAGCTACATTGGCTTTTTTTGCTCTTCCTAGGACTTGTCATACGTGCTTCTACCTTCCATGCAAACAACTCAAACCTATGCAAATTCACCTTCTCAGTGAGGCCTACGCTGACCATCCTGTTGATAATTGCAATACATGCTTGGCTTGCCTGCTCTCTCAATATCCCCTATCCCTCCTCTGTGCTAAACTTTTTCTGTAGAGTTTATCGTCTAACATAGTAATTTACATATTTATTATGGTGATTTCCTGTCCCCTTCTACTGGAATGGAAGCACGGGCACCCTATGGCGTCATTATAATAAATAACAATAAATAGGACTGCACAACAAATCACTGTAGCGAAAAATAATTTTTCCTATTCCTTTCCAGGTTCTTGACTGAAATAGCTCTCCCCTACCACCACACCACCCATCCTGTAATAAAAGATTAACAGGAGAAAAACAAACAGATGTTTAATAACATCTATATCTCCTGTATATATATACATGGGAGATACCCGGAATTGAGTGATTTTAAAATGGCCCAAGCTATCACCTTAAATACCATCTCCAGAGAAAGACAAAAGATGTTGGGGTTGAGGGGGCTAATTATGGAAAGTTTACAGATAAAAACATAAACAAGAGTAAGGTTGTTCCATGCCTTCTCCATTGGTCAGGGTTTCTAGAGACTTAGTCATCATCTTTCTAGAGCAGAGGGAGACACCCTTACAAATATGTCTCCTATAAAAGCCAACATCTTCCTGGTTTTCAGAGCTTCTCCCATGACTACAGTTTTTTTGTGGGTTGTTTTTTGTTTTGTTTTAGAAAAGTAATCAGCCTAAAATAATTCTGATGCCTAAAGGGCATATTTTGAGATGGCAAACTCTGCTTTTCTTCACTAGATAGTTCCCCCATAGAGCAAGGTCTAAAGAAAAGTTGAAGAGGAATCTGAGCAGCAAAGTGGAGATAAGAGGAAGAATCTGAATTTTGTAGAAGGGTTAAAGTAAGTACAGCCTGCATGGTAGGGAACACATGTAGCACGTATCTACTGGTATCTTCCTGTGACTTTGGTTGTAATGATTACATGCAAATTGCTTCATCTATCCTTCCTGACACCATCAGTAGATGGAAAGAAATCTTGGAGAAGCAGATAAGACAAAGACCTATGCCTGATTCACTGATGTAGTATTTTATCAAAAGTCTGGTAATTCTAATATTTTAAATTATCTCCTAGTATTAGAATTATCTCCTGAATTATATTTGTCAGGGTTGGCTATCAGGGTTTTCTTCCCTGCTATTGGTTTTCCTTAAATGTCTGATATTCCTTAGGCATCTGTATGTATTCATAAAGAACTACATCATATTGCAGATAGCTGTGAAAAGCAAGTTTCCTCAGGAATTACTATATATGCCTGCATTAGACATCCATTTTAAACAGAAGCTATGGTTCTGTTTAAGTTGTTAGGGCATTTCAAGCAGCAGGCACCTATAGGTCAGTATGTGGACAGCATGCAGAAGCTATTGTTCTTGACATGTGCTCGTGCTCGAGTAAAGAGGCTTTAATCTGGGAGTGGAATGCTATTACTCACCCTCCCTAACCCCAAGTGAAAATTCACTTCACCTCTATTCTACTTTCTGTGGCACCTCAATACCATCACTAGGGAGCCTCCCTAACAGAGTAATCTGTATCTTCAAAGAGTTATTCTTTTAGGCTTTACCCTAAAGAAAGCTATCTCAGTAACAATTTATCTGGAGGTAAGAAGCAAGGGCAAGGGTTCCCAATACAGTTCTTCAATGAATCAGCATTACTTGAACATTGGCCCATTCCTTGTCTCCTCCCATTCCTGCCCACTCAAATCTGAGCCTTAAAACTTCTCCTGGATACTTTCCTTGGCTTTGGTTATTTGCTTTTTCTCTCAATCTAATTCCTTCTGCTTTATACCTTCCTGGAATTTCTCAAAACTCTTGTTTTCCAAGCACTTTTATGACTTCATTCTTATATTTTCTGTCATTGGGACCAAGAGAGAGGGGAAACAATCATGGCTGATTATATTCAATTTGTCATGTGGAATTGAAGGTACCAGGATTAACATTAATATAAAAACTTTAGAGACCTGTTGGTGGTACCAATATTTTTCTTCTTTCTTCCGTTTGGCAATGGTCTCTTCTTCCTCCAGTGTGTTCTTTTAATTGCTAAACAAACTTCTATTTCAGAAAATACCTGCCCTAGGAATGTGCAAATTTTTAGCTGTCCTAGGGCAGCCTGAATTTTCATAGAACTAATCTCAGAATTGAAACTAAGACTCATAGCACAAAAAATGCCTAAGATCAACAAGTAGATAAGCAGGGGATCCCTGGGTGGCGCAGCGGTTTGGCGCCTGCCTTTGGCCCAGGGCGTGATCCTGGAGACCCGGGATCGAATCCCACATCGGGCTCCCGGTGCGTGGAGCCTGCTTCTCCCTCTGCCTGTGTCTCTGCCTCTCTCTCTCTCTCTCTCTCTGTGACTATCATAAATAAATAAAAATAAAAAAAAAATCCCTTTAAAAAAAAAAAAAGTAGATAAGCGGTTAATTATGCCAATTCTGGAGCACAAAAAAATCTCATGTCTACTATGTGCCCTATAGCATCCAATTCAAGACATATTCAATCCAGAAAACTGGAAGGATTACAGAAAATTCATTCAGTAGAAAGACTAAAAGTCAAATTATATATATTACTATTTTGTCTAGAAGGAAAAAAAAAAGACTGGTGATTTGTGTAGGAAGTGTAGATTAAGCTATTGTATTGGTCATTTTCCATTTTCTGTCTGTATACCCATACAGATTAAAAAAAAGAAAAAGTTTAAGTTATTGAGGAAATGTTTATGTTGATTACTGGTCTAATTTCCAGGTGTTTATATATCAAACCACACACACACACACACACACACCCCTCCAGAGATTACCTAAGTATCTTTTCAATATTTAGTTTGTACCTTAAGTGTGTATGATTCAGGGTCTATTTTTTCCTTGCAAAAATTATGCCAGAGTCAAAGGGAGGTTTAAAAAAAAAAAAGGAAGGAAAGATTTCAAATAAATCTTCAGCACGGGAAAAACAAGAGATAACCAGGTCCTGAAAAAATGGAGACAGCTGCTAAAAATATAAAGTTAATCCTGATTTGGAAATGGCTTTTTTTTTTTCTTGCCTCACTTGTTCTGTTTGATAGGCTACAGATGATGCTTAGACCAAAATTCAAGCTACAACTATTTTCTTATTATCAAGCAAAAGTATTGAGTATACCTTCCAGGAAATAATTAAGATACATGAATTTAATGGAATAATTTCATTTTCTTCACAGCTTTCAAATTAAAAATGATAACAAATAACTTTATGCAAAGTCTCTCCTTTTTCCCCAATGAGGCCTAAAATGGAAAGTATACTTGCTCCTAGCAAGCAAATACACCAAAATTAAAATTAGCAAAATCTTTAAGGTACCAAAATTTGTGAGGGAAGGAGGATGATAAGAAAGTAAGAGAAATTACCAAATGGCAACCAAACAAGGTCACATCAGGGTTTCAGGTTAGTCCAAAATAACTTCTGGAATATGGTCTATGGCCCCATTGTTTATATACCTTCCACAGCTCTAGAACTACAGAATAAACTTTTAACAATAAAATGAGAACCGAGAACATCATATTGTAAATATTATATTTCTCTCACTCACAATGTTGTATGAGACATTTACTAGTTTTAATATGTATCCATAGGATTAATACTCATATGGAGTATGATGCAAAAAGTGCAGGACTAAAGAAATAAGTCTATATGAAAACAAAAGCACACATTTCTTAGGATTTAAAAATATTGCACATAATAAGGTTGCACAGAAATTACTGGCTGTTTTTACATATAGAATGAGGTATTAGTCAATCTATAGATACGGATGAGTGCAAATAGGAGGAACCACACACACACAAAAATACATAAATCCATGTAAGACCTAGAGCGCCAACAACTAAGAAAGAAATGTGAAAAGATGTGTAAATTAGCTAGGACTTCAACACTACAAAATCATTAGCCAGGGACCAAACACGTAACAATCTCTTGGTAATATTTCAAAAGTTTTCAATGTTCTTTTGGCCTAAAGGGCTATGAGCAATACAATCATTTCCTTTACTCCAATTTTTACTGCAGGAAGGTATGGTTCTGTGGTGAATATTAAATCATGCCTTTCTGAAGCTTTCAGTGGAAAGATACTGCTATCCTTTGCTGAATGACTCAATTACAATTTCACGTACACTTAGCAACCCAAGTCAGAGATGCTGCGGAGCATGCAATTTTAAATTAGCAAAGGTTTCACTGCAAAAACCATTCAAGTTCACACAATTTAAATCTACAATAAGTTTCAAAGGCTAACCTTTAAATATATCAGGCGAACTCAATCTTTTCTTGGTAATAAAACTGGCCACATAAGTAAGCCCAAGGGCAGGTAGAGAAAAAAACCAGGCAGAATTACAACCTTTTTTTTTTTAAAGAATCTTTCCTAATCAGGGAAATTAGTAATTAGCGATTTCTCTACTGAGTGTTGCTGAATTTGTCAAAAACCATTTAAATGCATTTAATACCTTATCAAGTTAAGTGAAATCATGCACTTGTCAAAATAGTTCACAGAAAATTGTTTTGCATCAAAGATATTGAAGAAAATTCGACTAGTTGGGTTTAGAAAGAACAGAAAAATCGTGAACTACTGTCCTGAACAGTCAGTATATGTAGTAACCATATTTCCTCTCCGTTGAGTGACAGTCCTGCAGTGCTTGCTAGATCCATGGAATCTATTTTCAGTCTGTACTGTGTGCCGATTGGTGGTATCAAAACCACTAAAAGAAAACATTTTCTCCATATCTTCAAACATGTCATCAAACAGTCCACCTCCAAAAGAAAACTCCTGGAAATGATGTCTTTGTCTACTGGAACCATCCTGGCGTGTCTGGAAGTGATTCTCAAAATGCTTCTTGGATCGAGTGTTTTGGTTTTGACCAAAAAACCCAAAGTCTTTAAATAAGTCATCAAAATTGAAGTTAAATGATTGCTCAAAAGGACTTCCGCTACCTCTTTGTCCTTTAACGTTAGTAAAAGCACTGTGTCCAACTGTATCATATTCTTTTCGCCTATTAGCATCTGAGAGTGTTTCGTATGCTGAAGGAAATAAAAATACTTTAGTAACTGAAGGTAATGAAAATTACATACATCCAAATCTCTTCAAATAAGTGAATTCAACTCTCTTTTTTAGGGAAAAGATTTCATATCACCATTAAGCCAAGACATCACAAACACAGGGGAAAAAAAATGAAAGGTACAAAAGGCAGGGCCTTTGTCCTATATACTGTGCAGTATCAGCTGTTGGAATAATGCCAGCCCTTAGTAAATAACCAATAAATGAATGCTACCATTACTTACAAATAAGCATGTGGAAAACAAACAATTACAGAGTTATTTTTCATATTACTTGGGTAAAACCATTACCTGTATTAAATAATTTAACGGTCCAATACAACCAATTAAAATTTTCACTTACTTACTAGTTGAAGTAAATGTTTAACTCTCTACTCAATTACTTCCACCCACCATTAATTACTGAATGCTCAGGAGGTGCAATTTGTTTTAGAACTAGTCTTAAATCAAAATTTGTTTCATATTTTTCCTTTAAACATAAATGTGGCTTTTAAACATAGATCAAGTGAAGGAAAAAAACCCAAACATTTCAGTCTATTTAAATTTTTATAGCTAATATTTTATATTTCATCTCCATACTTAGTAAATAAAAACTGTTTCATAAGTTAGCTTTTTACATATCTAAAATTCCTTTTAACATGGAAACAAGCAATGTCATAAATAATAAAAGAATAAAGCAATACATTTTTAACATTTTAGGATCTATGTGACAATAAAAATTGGTATTACCATTCATTCATCCATCCAGGAATCAAAGCAATTGTGATAAGAAGATAGTCTCAACAATCTCCTTTATTTAAACGTAGACCCTACTCTGTGACCCATCATCACATTATCCCCCCAAATATACACTTCTTAGCTATCATTCTCCTTTACTACTAATTAGTATTTGTGAGACCTCAGAGATAATCATTTACTTACCTTCTGCAATCTCTCTGAATTTTGCTTCAGCATCAGGACTCTTATTTTTGTCAGGATGGTACTTCATGGCCAACTTGTGAAAAGCTTTCTTGATTTGGCGCTCTGATGCTGATTTTGGCACACCTAAGATATCATAGTAACTTTTTGATGCCAAAATTAATTCCGTTATCATTAAAATGCAGATTGCAAAGATGAAAACTGACTGGGGAGTAGCCATTTCTAATATCCTAAAAAAAAGAGAAAAACAATTTTACCCACGGAGCCAATCTTAACACTTCATTCTTCTTTTAGGATACAATGCATACTTAACGCGCCATCAAAACGTTAAGCATATAGTATCTTGTACTTGTTCCCATGTCATTTCGTTTTTGCAGGCTTTATTATTACCTCTATGTTGGTTGTGACCTTCTTAAAATCAAATATAATTCAAATCGAGGAAAGAATCGCTTTACCTTTTCACTAATACTCTGATCAGACACAGAGTAGACACAAAAATATTCAATAACTGTTTTTTACCAGTAAACACTGAAGGCTAATGATTTGTGAACACTGTAAAAAGGGTGCAAAATCCAAATACTTTTTAAAGGGATGTCAATTCTCCTTTCAAGAACTCGTATTCTAAGAGGACTAAAAGTATTTGACTTCGCAGGAAAAAAAAAAGTACAATACCAAGGTAAAGAGCCCACTCAGTATGTCTGAACTGATGACCCTCCCTCCCTAAGAACGCCCTGACTTCAGCTTTCCTTTCAGCAAGGTGAGCCAAGGGCTGCACATACTGAATCTCAGTGGCATATTAATCTTGACAATACAATAGCATGTGATGATTTTTTAATGGTAAGATTCCCAGATATTTAACCCAAAAACAAACAAAAAGTATAAACGGGATTTTGTTAAAACAAAACAAAACAAACAAAACTCCTAACGGAATTTAAGATTTCTGCTCAGACTCCCAGAAACACCACAGTCTGTACTTTTAGATAAGGTAAACACTTATTTTTCAAACTTCTTGGCAGTCATGAAAACCACTTCTCTAACCTTAAAGGTGGTCTATCTACGTAAGGCATCAACATAGGATCCTGCGTACTATACATGCGACGACCTGGGATTCAAAAACGAACGTGATCCCGTGTTTTGTGAAGTCTGCCCTGAGTCCTTAATACCCGGTGATGACGTAACAAGGCTGACGAAAGACGCTAGGGTTTGTGGCAACTGCCTGCCCTCCTCTCCTGTGGCCTCTGCTGAGCGCAATTAGCGCACGGATGCCCCCTTTCCGAAGACTTACTCAGAGTCACGGACGGGTACTAAGGATCAAGTACGAGCTCCTCGTTTACGGAAGGCGAACCTGGGGCGGCCCGGGTGGGGCGCGGCGGTTCAGCGCCGCCTTCGGCCCAGGGCGTGACCCCGGGGTCCCGGGATCGAGTCCCAAGTCCCGCGTCGGGCTCCCGGCATGGAGCCCGCTTCTCCCTCTGCCTGTGTCTCTGCCCCTCTCTCTGTGTCCCTCATGAACCAACAAATAAAATCTTTAAAAAAAAAAAAAAGAAAGAAAGAAAAGAAAGAAAGAAAAGAAAGAAAAGAAAGAAAAGAAAGGAAGGAAAGGAAGGAAAGGAAAGGAAAGGAAGGAAAGGAAGGAAAGGAAGGAAAGGAAGGAAGGAAGGAAGGAAGGAAGGAAGGAAGGAAGGAAGGAAGGAAGGAAGGAAGGAAGGAAGGAAGGAAGGAAGGAAGAAAGAAAGAAAGAAAGAAAGAAAGAAAGAAAGAAAGAAAGAAAGAAAGAAAGAAAGAAAGAAAGAAAGAAAGAAAGAAAGAAAGAAAGAAAGAAAGAAAACGGAAGCCGGGCGGGGGCTGCGGACGCCACCAAGACTGCAGGTACTTGCCCCAGCCCAAGGGCAGGTCCGAACCTGACGGGGAGGGAGGCGCAGCGCGGGCTTCAGGGAGGGCTGGCCCGCCGCTCCGCACTCCGCAGCCCACGGACGTCTCCTTCCCGAGAGCGACCACGGGGACAGCGGCCCGGGCCAGCCTGCACCCCAGACGCCCGGGGCCCGTCCGGCCCGGCCCGCCGCCGCCGCCGCCGCCGTGCCCTCGGCCGCCCCCGGCCCTGGGAGGAGCTGTCCGACGCCCGGAGAAGCCCGCGGCCAGCCCCGAGCACGAAACGCCCTAGTCAGGGCGTCGGTCGCCTCCTCCTCCTAACCCCTCAGCGCCACCAGGCAGGCAGCTGGAGGCCCCCGCGACGACCGTGGCGGACCCCGGGACCCCGGCGACCCCGGGCCAGCCCGCAAAGACCCGCCGAGGCCCCGCGGGGGCCGCTCTGCACACCCCTCCCCCCGACCCCGGCCTCGTCCCTCACCCGCACCCTCCGCCGGCCGCTGCCCAGCCGCAGAGCTGAGGCGCCGGGAGACTGACGCCCGGCCCCTCACGGGCCCTCGCGCCGGCCCCCGACGTCCCCCTCCGCCGCGCGCACACAGACCTAGCGCTCCGCCACCGCCGCCGCACCGCCGCCGCCGCCGCCGCGTCCCCTCTCAGCTCGCTCCCCGCTGGCCGGCGGCCGCCGCTGCCGCCACCTCAGGAGACGACCTTACACGAAACGCTCCCCTATTGGCTCCTGCGTCCCCACGTGACCCTGGCGCCCTACGCGCACGTGGAAAACTGTTGTTGCCGCTCCGCCCGCGCGTCACTTCCGGCCCCAACCTCCAGAAAGGGCGGCGCTGAAGCCGGCAGAAGCGGAAGTGAGTCGACGGTCGCCACCGTCCTTCCGGCTCGGCCGCCTGTGGCGCAGGCGCAGTGGCTCGGCGACGCGCTCGGGGGTGGTAGCTCGCTCCGCCTCGGCGGACGGGGTCACGTCAGCGCCCCTCGCCGGCCCGGCCCCTCCGGGCCGCCGCGGAGGGCGCGATGCCTCGCTACTGCGCGGCGATTTGCTGTAAGAACCGTCGGGGACGAAACAGTAAGGACAAGCCGGAAGCTGAGTTTCTACCCGTAAGTTGTCCCCGGAGCAGAAGCGCCCGCCTTTACGGTGAGGCCACGGGGCTGTGGCGTTTGGGGCCGGCGGTACCCGGAGAGTCGTCCTCGGCCCCACCGGCGCGTCCCTTCACAGCGCGGGAGGACGACGTGGAGGCTCGAGTTCAGGTTTATTCAGAAACGTCCTAACCGAGAAGGACACGGGGCTGGTGGGAGGAGCGTAGCGGCCCTTGGTGGGGGGGGGGGTAAACGGCTGGCGCGTGGGGGCGGCGCTCCGCGGTTTTCAGAGCGTTTCCCGCCCTCGCCTGGCCTGTCTTGGACATGGACCTCCGCGTCAGGTGCGCCTCAGGTGCGTCTCAGGTGAGCCTCAGGTGCGCCTCAGGCCGGCCGCAGCTGCGCTCACGCTCACCTCACCTCGGGGTAACTCCGCTTGCGTAGACGGCCCTTCCTTCCGTTTTTCCCCCCGAAGAAACGGAGGCCCTTGAGGAAGTAGGCCGCCCTGGAAGCGTCGTGAGCGCGCGCGGGCCTCCCGGCGACACCCTCCCGACCGTCCCGAGAGCGGGTCAGGGTGGCGCCCAACTCGCCGCCGCGCTCTGTCTCTCCGTGAAGCCACAGGAGGGAAACTCCCCTTTTTATTCAGGAGAACTGGGGAGCCGGAGCGGGTGGCATTTTCGAGGGCAGGTCCCCAAAGCCAGCCGGACTCCGGAGGCCCCAAACCGGGCGCCCCGACTCTGAAGCTGACTGACCTTCCGCAGATGTATTTAAAGACTCTGCCTAGGATCTCCCACCTGTAAAGGGAGATTAAATCGTCCCTACCGCCGCCTTTCGTGTGCAAATAGGCGAAGCAGCCCTTATCGTTCAGTACGTGCTTATTTAACGTATGTGAGAATCCACATACTTACAATATTCGATTTCCTTTTTTTGTTTGTTTGTAAAAGTCATTTAGCTCTAACCTGATCGTCTTTTAGATTTTTTTACCAGCTATTTTGTGAAGCCCCCCCCCTTTTTTTTTTTAAGACCGGAAGCTCTCTGCTCACAGACATGGTTGTTTTCCATTATTTTAACTAATGGGTTTGGGTGGTGGTGGGGGGGGGGACCCTGATAAGCCAAAATAATTCACATGTGGCAGTATTTCCAGGACTCTTTCCCATTTGGAGGCCACAAGATGCAGAGAGAGATTTTGGGGGAGATTCTAGTTTAACAATAGCTATGGCTCTTGAAAGTTTGTAACAAACCCAGCAAACAAAAACATGTTGAACTTGATTTAGCCTCATTTCCCAAATTGAATTGGCCTTCATCTGGGGGGCAATAATCCCAGACTCCCAAATTCTTTAAATTTTCCCATAGTCACTGTATTTAAGGAGGGTAAAATAACAATGCCAGAGGAAGTCAGTTAAAAAGATTTCTTTCTTCAAAATGTGAGTTTACCAAAAGTGGATTTTTAAATGTTATTTCCCCCATGTAACCCGCAAAATAAAAATTAGTTTTATTCCCCTAACAGCATCAAACTTGAATTGGATTTGTTAATGCTAACACTGTAGCAAGGTGTACTATAGATTACTTTGAGAATTCAGCTTGTGTGTGCATATAGTGTTAAGTATATAATATTATTTTATGCTTTTGGGGGAATTAGAAAGATGGTGAAACAAAATTACAAGCAAATTGAACCACTGTAAAGGCCCTGAGTTGTTCAGGAAACGTATTGCCTGAGACTTCTTAGAGATTTACCTGTTGAGAAAGCATTGCAGTCCAGTTACCAGTAAGGATATTCAGAGTAGTCTTTTTTAATTGTGTGATAACTTAGTGTATAGGTATGATAGAAATAATTTGCAAACAGCCTCCTTATACATGAGATTACATGTAAAAATATTGTAAAGGGCATATTCTCATTTTAGATGTAGCAGAAAAGGTATGAACTTTTCTATGGCTAAAAGAATTCAGGTCCTCTGAAAAGAAAAATTATTTTTGTCCTTCAATGCCTTTTCTGATTATGTCTATAACCTGAGTTCTTGATATGTGCAAGGTTAAGGAATTTTCAAACCATGTGTGAAAATTGTATCTGTTGTAAGAACTTCTGAAGGTAGGTCATCTGATTTTTCCATGTAAGGGTATTTGAGTTAAAAATTATTTTCTATAAAGTACTTAGACTCCTTTAGCATCTTGTAAAGTTACCAGTATTTGCAGGATGGGGGGAGGGGAGGAAGCATGCTATTATAAAGCATAAACTAAGTAGTAGGAATTGAGAGGGAATATATAATTGCTGCTTTTTGTATGAGAAACCTTATATTCTTTTTTAAAAGTAGGAAATTAGACTTCATAAAATCATTTTAAGAAATATGAATACTGTGTTAACTGTTTAATGCAGTTTAAACTGAAACCTATTTAGACTGGTAGGAAAAAGTTTTCTCTCAGATTCTGTCATTAGCCCAATTTTGCCTATAAAACACATCTCAGTAAGTTAGCACCAACTCTCAAAAAAGGTTATTGTCAGCACAGGAACAACACATGTAAAGAACTGTCTTACCTTTCTCTGTCTTTTCTGTTTGATTTATTTCATGTTATATCAGAGTCTGTTTGTAACCTGTTTAGTTCTTGTGTCAGTATTCAGAGCTTGAATTTTAGGGTTCTCAATTCTCTGGACGTAGAAGTTTAGAAATACTAAATTACATATGGTTAGAATTGAGCCTGAATCTGGTAAAGGGAATGGAATATTAGTAGTTTTATGAAATTTAGTGTTCATTGTCAATTAAATCACTTGTTTGAACTAACTTCTTATTTTAAAAATGTTAATATAAGTAAGAGCCTAAAGCTTAATATTTCTTAAGTTATAGACAAGACACCATTTAACTTGTAGTATTAGTGTAGAATACATTTGAGTGGGACTTTATGAAAAGCTTTTTCCTAGTTCTAGGCAAAATACATAACAAAATAAAAATGAAATATAATCCACAGAAAATATGAATAGATTTTACCCTTTGTTGGAACACATATATTTTTACTTGAAGGACTTGTTATGTTTTACCAGCCATTGCTCTTTTTTGTTTAAGATTTTATTTAGAGAGATAAAGTGCTCATGCAAGTAGGGGAAGGGGCAGGGGCTGAGGGAGAGAAGGAGAATCTCTGGCATGCTCCACACTCAGCGCAGAGCCCAACTCGGAGCTCAGTCCCAGGACCCTGAGATAATGACCTGAGCTGAAATCAAGAGTCAGACGCTTAGTCACTTAGTCAACTGAGCCACACAGGAACCCTATGAGCCATTTTTCTGAAAAGCTTTGCCTACACATTTTATAGCTTAGTCATCTTTACTGTAGAGATGATGTAGAATTGTCATTAAGGTGCTTTTACTCAGTGTAGATGGTTGCCTTGCTTTTGCAGCACTCAGTGCATAGGTTACCTATATATGCAGTCCTGGAATTTGCAAAATTGTAAAAATATAGCAAAGTTTTCCTTTTTTAATTTCAGGTTTCCTCTACATGACAAAGAAAGACTTGAAAAATGGTTAAAGAATATGAAACGAGATTCATGGGTACCCAGTAAATACCAGTTCCTGTGTAGTGACCATTTTACTCCTGACTCTCTTGACATCAGATGGGGTATTCGATATTTGAAACAAACTGCAATTCCAACAATATTTTCTTTGCCTGAAGACGATCAGGTATTGGAGGCAGCAGCACATAGGGGAGAGGGGGACAATGCTGAGCAGGATGGTAGGTTGCAGGGTGGCAGGTAATGGAAGTTAAGGGAGGGAGAGGGAAAGATAACTGCTGGGGAAACAGATACTTGAGGAAAAGGAAGACTAATTTATGCTTCTGCTAAAAGTGTGAATAATTTTATGAAAAAAACGTAAACTGAAGAACAAAAGATAACACATACATAAATTATTAAGTTATTCATGTAAGTTAATGATCTAAGATTTCGGTACTGGTCTTTTGAATGACCTGCAATGTTTCCATCATGTATTGAATGAATATGCTTAATACTTTTTTAAAAACTAAATTTAGAGTATATTTGAGTCGTTACATGCTTAGAACATTTTTTTAACTTGTGTAAATTTACTTGGCCGGTATTTTTCTCAAAGTTGTAGTTAAATATTCAGCACTGACTAATAAGAGAATAAGGTTAGTGAGGACATCTTTAGAATTTGAAAATATTATTTTCTAGGAAAAAGACCCTTCCAAAAAAAAATCTCAGAAGAAAAAATTAGATGATGAGAAAGAAGTGTGCCTAAAAGCCAAGTCACAAGAATCATTTGCTTCAAATGAGTTAAAGAAAAATACAGTTAATACAAATATTCTCCTTGAACACACAGAATTACGTAATTCATCTACTTTGGTGAAGCCACCAGCTCCCAAACCAGAATGTATACAAAATAACGTATTAACTCTTAATCTGCTTAAACAAGATATTGGAATACCAGTATCTACCTTGGAAACTTCAGTTACCCAAGACATAGATATAGGTGGTTTTCACACATCTTTTGAGAATCTAAATTCTACGACTATTACCTTGACAACTTCAAACTCAGAAGATGTTCAGCCATCTTTGGAAACCCAAGAAGTGTTTGAAATAACTGCGAATCATCTTGCTAACCCAAACTTTACAAATAATTCCATGGAAATTAGGTCCGCACAGGAAAGTCCATTTTTACTCAGCACAATTACTCAAACAGTCGAAGAGTTAAATACAAATAAAGAATCTGTTATTGCCATTTTTGTACCCACAGAAAGTTCCAAACCAATTAATTCTTTTGTATC